TATTTTCGAAATAAAATTGCACTATTTGCAAGCGTTGTTCAGGCGTGAGTCTATTCACGATGAATTGCCAAACCAAACTGAAAATAAATCACTTGACAGCTGTTAAATCGGTCGCCATTTTGAACAGTAATGCCAACTTAAAGTTCTATACATCGAAAAAAAAACACCCATTACATACAATAGTTTTATGGGCGGAGTAGATAGGTGCGACGAACATATAAACTATTAGAGAACAACCATCATGACAATCCAAAATGCTTGGCACTTGCACACGCTTCAGAAAGGAAATCTGCTAATGTTTCGTCGAGAAATAGCTGTTTCTCTTTTGGAGACTAGCAAGTCCACGAATAGGGGACATCTGTCGCTGTTATAAAACATCGAATCGCGTTTTGACAGTATCCAACACTACCTGATCCGACAACATGCGCGGTAGACAGTGTTATAAAAAAGTACAAAAGTGTATTTCATGCGATGTGGCCTTACATTAAGAATACTTTGTGGTTTACCATCACGAGAAATAGTCAATTTACTTATTTTTGTAATTAGTTCTTTTTTCAACGTTCGACGTTGCGTTTATGTTCCTAATGTCCTTGAAAAAGGACATCTTCAGAATTCAACTTTTGTTTTGCTCTAATAAATAAAACCGCGTTTGTTTGATGTTTAGCTCTATTTTAACCCTCTGAAGAAGAAGAAGACGAAGAATTTTATTAACCACATATTGTACAATAATAGCACAATCACAGCCTGTCAATATAAGGTAAAATACAAAAACAAAATATAAAAAGTATAAAGGTGTAAAAAAAACGTATTTTATAAATAAAACAGTAGTGAACAATCACAAATGTAAAGGTCAACAACACTAACACGGAGTATAAAAATCGTACAGAAAGTGCAAGATGCATTTCAGTAAGCCAAGGACAAGAAACAATTTTCAATAAGCAACACTTTAATATTAGTTTTGAACACCTAAAAAGCCATATGTCTGTACCTGTCTGGCAGCATTTTGTACAAGTTAAAGAATTTTTGTCTGATGTAACAAGTCTATGCTTTGGAACTCTTATAAGATTTTTTGCACACCTTCAAATATATTAGTATGTTTGTTGATTTCTAAAAGATTGGGGAGAATATAGATACAGGGCAGTGTCATTATCTTATATTTTTTAAAATATGGAGTACAGTGCTGATTGTGCTTAGCACCAGCAAGAATTCTTATAGCCCTTTTCTGCATCCATATTATATGTGGGAATGTGTTTTGTAAGGACGAATAAACTGGAAGATAGTTTTCGCTTAAGAGATAAAATATGATCTTTCCAGTCAAGTCTACTATCAAGTGTAAAGCCGACTGCCGTTCGCCGTTGTTATATTTATCTAGCGAAAAGAATATTTTTTGAGTTTTGTCCATATTCAATTTCAAATAATTGTTTTTAAACCAATTGTTCTCCATATGTCCTTGGGCCTATTATCGGAATTTAATATGTATTTGTTATAAGCTTGTTTTTTAGTTGTTTTTATCTAGTTTTTGTGATGCTTTTGGATGTTTCGTGTATGTCCTCATTTGTTTTTGAGACCAAACTTATAGTTTGAGCAGCCTGGACTGGATTTCTGAGTTGTTTGAGATCTTGCGTAAACCAGTTTACAGACGATTTTTTAAACTGACATTTTTTTAAAGGGAAGTTTAGTTCAATTAAGTCGTGTAACAAAAAATGTGACATAAAATTGACGTCCTCAGAACTATAAAAGTTGTACCAGTCACGGGATAAAAGAGGGCTTATAGACCTATCTGCTGTAGACTGTTAATAAATCTGTGGTTTCTATTTTGATGCACTGTGCTAAATGATCAGAGAAACCTGGGTTGATAAGCCCTGTTGCATAATGATGTTCACTAAGATCCGGCGTTATCCTAATATGTTCAGAGATAGTAATTTTAAAACCAAAGCTGTCCAGGATACAGGAAAGTTCAGCTAGTGCATCCGAGTTTAAATTGAATTCTATATTAAAGTCTCCCAGTATGATAATTCTTGAAACTTTTCATCCATGTCACTGAGAAGGTGTATAAACTTTTCGAAAAAGATGTCTAAGCTACCATACTTACAAGACCTTTACAGACAAATGACCAAAATGTGCTCTGTTACTATCTCAATAGCACAAAACTCTGCGTGCAACTCTTTGCAATACTTTGATATATCTAACTTTCGGCAAATAAGGGTCTTTTTGGCGAAAATGCAAACTCCGCCCTTATTCTTGTGGCTCCTAAAAAAATGAGATACAAGATTATATCCAGTAATATTTACAGAACTTAAAATACTTGGACAAGTTATATGATGTTCGCTTATCCAGAGAATATCATAGCTGACGCATACTAATAAAGAAATAAGATCTATTTTATTTGAAATATTTTGTATGTTTAAATGAAAAATATTCAGTTTTGAATTTTGTCTGAGTTTTTAAGAGAATTGGACTTTGGTAATTGTCCTGGCGCCCCATCCTGTGAAAAAACGGCTTTATGTTTATTCCGTCATTCCAGATGGTAGGGTCCAATTTTAATGGTGCATATTCGTTAGGGTACTTGGACGCCAGTTATTTCTGAAAATTTTGGGCTAAGATATCGCATCAAATTTTCCTTTGTTGTAGATGGATGCAATCGAAGCACGTGATAATAGGAATGAGTAGGAGCCACTTGTATGGCTCCGCCTAAATTGTCTGTCGCGCTGCCGACCACTGTTCGATGTTTTCTGTTGCGTGAGCCATGGCCATCATGTTTATTAGACTTTCCGCGAACATTTTGCAAATCACCGGTAGCGCTATTCTGGGTCCCAACTCCACCGTCCTGCAATGACTCGTCAATCCTTGCCCCGGCTGTCGCTTCATGTACCGCTGCAGCAACCTGCAAGGTGTTCATTTGCGTGGTACAGTTTACTGGTTTCTTTAAAGATAATTGTAGCTAGTTTGTAGCTCCTTGCATCTAGCCACCCAATACTTTTATTAATAAAATAAAGTTTCCAAAAACAAACAGATAAATCATTTTTAACCCAAAAACATTAAAAAAAAAACATAACAACGGTAATAATAACAAGAATAATAAATGTAATAAATACTAAAAAAACAGACTTCATGTTATAATATATAAAAGTTGAAAGATGTGGTCATACCTGCCCAACTACAATTGAACCTTAAACAATCATTTTTTTTCTTTCTCGATGCTCTACGAAGCAAGTCGGTCCAAGTCAATACATAAGCGAAGGCTAAAATGGAAAACAAAGTCGAATCGCAAACATTTAACTTCGTTGGATTAACAAAAAATTATTTTAAATAAATACAAAGTCTTATCTTTAATAACTTTAAACTTTTTTGGATAAAATATGATACATGATGGCAGAATCTCATCTTGTTTTCAAAAAACAACAATTTTTTATAATTTACGGGAAGTAGATGGTTCCACTAACGACTTTTAAATCTTGATTCAAATATTTTTCAGCCACGTTAATATCCTATGGGCTTGCTGTTTTGCAAACATGTTCCGAAAAACTAATTGTCTTTCAAAAAGTATAGTGTCCAACACATTAATAAATTTCTTTAGACACTTGTTTGTTAAGCACTCGCTTCGCTAGTGGCAAATCATAGCGATTTTCAAACTGGCATAGTAAACTCACAACGCTCTGTGTTGAAAAAACCTCAAGTGCTTATTGTTTTAAATTTGGTTGGTCGGTTGGTTGTTTAAGTGCAATAATAATAATAATAATAATAATAATAATAATAATAATAATAATAATAATAAAAACTATATACCACTAAATAAAAAACACAATCTTAGGAAAATGCGATGTTCTTCTCTCATGAGTATCAGAACCTTCAACCAGCTTGTGAAACAAATACAAGCGCTATGTGTGTGAGTAGGTTTTCTGTTTTCTGTCAACAGAATGACCCAATGTTAATTCTGAGCAATTATCACCATGCTATCAAAAAGCACAACACACAGATTTTTACAAGTAGAAGGAAGTCGACGACAAAATGAGTTGTTACTTATTCAAATGGAGCTTTTGCTCCACTAACTGCTTGTAAGTATTAATTTCAGTGTTTTTCAATCATCATCCGGACGTGCTGTTTGGAAAAGATTAATTACCGACGAAAAAGTATAATATGCAACATATTTGAAAACCACTCGAAACACACGTTTATTAAGCCTTCGCTCCTCTCGTGCCAAATCAAGCCTATGACAAAAATTACTTTGAAAAAAATACTTTGAGGCATTACTACGCAGAGCACGACTTCAAGAAAAAGCTGCTATGTGGTTAGGGACCGAAAATGCCCGTTTCAAATGAATGTACACTTTTTCTATAAGGTGGCAGATTTTTTATGCTTTGGTGCTTTGCTTTGTATGGGAAGAATTATTCTTGAGAGGCCCACTTACTATGTACTATGCTTTGACGGAAACAAATTATATGGTTTGCTATGTTGCAATGATTAAAAAATTTTGAATTCTAATTTTAAATGCAATTTTTATAAGGCACGAGTAAAATATTTCTCGTTAATATATTATTATAATTATGTTATTTATTTTAATAAAGTGTGCTTTGCATTTAGACAGATTCTGAAGAAAGTCAGATAGTAATATAACATCTACATTCTATTTCATCAATCACCTTGGATTTCTGAACATACATTATTGCGTAATAAATTCGTCAATTTGCCTAGAAGAATGCTTTTAAAAAATCCATAAAAGAAACACCAAATTTACCAAAAATTCTAACAAGCGAGATAATTACAACTCCCCGGATGCAACAGGAGCCGTAAAACAAATAAAAAAATAATATCGACATAATTCAATAACCAAATTAAAAAAGTAAAAATTCAACTTCATTTAATAGGCCACTACGTATCATTGAACGTAATCTAATAATTACTGCTATCAAGTAGTTAGTATTAATCTGAATTACAAATAAAACATTGTGTACTGATAAACTGTTCGAACCACGAATGAATTGCAGCAGGAGATTATTTTCTCCAGTATAAAAATGCAACCAAACAAGCAATTAGATAGCGTTTGCTCTCTACTCGCGTCTTCCAAATTGGGGACCGTCAAATTGACGAAGATAATTTGCACTATAGGTAAGAACTTCATGGGTTCAATATTTCAAACCGGATTTTAAATATTTGCCATTTGAAGTCGAAAAAACAAATATATATTTGCTAATAGCGTCACGCATTACGAGTTTGTCTGTAATTTACGTTGATACTGCTTTAAAATAATAATCTGTTTGGTTAAAGAAAGATGGATAGTGTCAAATCTTTTTAGTTGCCTAATTATTAATACTACGCCCCATGCCAGTAAATAAATTTACTTGATAACTTCAACGTCTAACTTCGAAGCGAAAGCTCATACTGCTCAGGACTGATTCCCATTGCTATGTTGTTCAGTATTGTCGCCCAAACAAAGAATTAAAAAAAATCATCTGGGTTATATGAAGTCCTATTGCAATTACTTTAAAATTCTTTTGACATTATACAGATTCTCCCGGAAGTCTTAATGTATCTTGTTGCTTATTTTATTTGCAAACATTAAATAATTTATTTAGGCTATCAGCTTTGTTTCATTTTGTATTATTTTTGGTAATGTAAATTTCCAACATTGTTAGAAGGAATCCCGTGAAACACAAGAACAATTCTTCAGATTCATGGAGTTCCGACTCATGAATATCGCAAAATTCCGCAATTTCTAAATGCCAATTTTGAAAACAGGTCGATCGGAAGAAATGGGCTTCATGGGTTTCAAAATACAGAAAAATAAAAGAACTTGCTTACAGCACGCTTCCAAACACAGCATATAATATTTCGAAAACTTATTGTCATGTTTCTCTTCATTTTTTTTACCTTGTTTTCATTAAATTAGTTAAGTTAGTTAGTTGGAATTATAATAATAGATAATAGTTTGTTTTTCAAGTTTAATCTTTTTTTAAACTTTTTTTTTAAATCTAATGTATTATAATAGTGCTAATATAATACAATAACGATAAAAGTAATGAGAAAGAAAAAAAATTTTTTTCTAAAATTTTTGCTTTTTACTAATCATAGAAGTATTACGGCGATTTATGATATGATATAACAGGATAGGATAGTAATTGAGATTTTTATCTAATGTGTTAAATTGGGTATTGCAAATGAAAATGAGCGCTCTTATAACTCGGATGAATGCTTGAAAACCATAATTGTATATTTGTATCTAATAATAAAATTGTGGACATCAGTTGTAAAACTTAAAAAAATATATGGTGGAAATCTTAAATTAACACCTTTGTGGTTTCCTTAATTTTGTGGCTAATTCTCTGAGATTTTCTTATTCAATATATTAGTCGGAGACAGGAATTTTTTGTATGTGTTCACTATCTGCAATTTTTCTGCAACAATTATAGAGACTTGAATCACACAGGCATATTTTTAAAGATTTTGTAGGAAAGTATCTATTTTAAAAAATATATTATTTCAAGTTGATGTAAGCTTTTTGTAGATGTTTGTTTACATGAACTGCGAATGTTCTCTTCCTCGATATGTCAACAGACTGCTGTAAAATCAGACCACACTAACGAGCTCAAAATATTGTGTGTGATTTCTAAATACTATGAGCAACTAGATGCAATAAAGATTTATTTAGATAACACCAAAAATCAACTATTCGATAGGCAATTAAAAAGTACATGGCGCTCCATTCAAATTAATGAACTCCTAACTACTTAAAGTTGTTGTTGATTAAGATAATTTTTTTCTATAAAATGGAAGGCCTTTTTTTATACTTGGCGTATAAAATATGGTTACACTTTACCGAGGATTTCCATTAGATACCTGAAATACTTCCTATGTATTTAAAATTAGCTTACATTTTCATAAAATTCAATTTTTTTTAAAACGTTATCAAAACATACACTTATTTTGGTGGTAGAATCAACTCTTTCGGAGCAACCTGTATAAGAGTCATTTTAAAAATTTACCCCAACCCAAAAATAAAACTTTTTTAAAACCTTGTATTTTGGCCACCACGTTCCATGACATATAGTGCGCTGAAAACACAATGTTTTTTTCAAGGTCCTGCGTCTAGGGACGTAGCAACGTTAGAAGAACTCATTGACGCTGGTATGAATGTGGCCCGTTTAAATCTATCTCACGGAACCCACGAATACCACATTCAAACTATAAAAAACATCCGACTCGCTGAAACAAACTACCAAAAGAAAACGGGAGTGGAGAGGCCCATCGCAATAGCTTTAGACACTAGAGGACGAGAAATCAGAACCGGACTTCTGGAAGGCGTAAGAACTTTTTTTTTACATTATTCACAGTTTATTCAAACTTTGAATTTGGCAGGGCGATTCAGTCGAGGTGCTCTTAGTTAAGGGAAAGAAGATTAAATTAACTGCAGACAAATATTACGAAACAAGAGGAAATGCCAATATATTATTTGTAAGTTATCAGAATATCACCGGAGTAGTTAAAGCTGGCGATCGCATCTTTATAGACGACGGTCTTATCTCGTTGAAATGCGTAAACGTTGAAGACATATGTTTGATATGTCAAATTGAAAACGATGGCTTGTTGGGTAGCCGCAAGGGTGAGTTTTAATCCATCCCCAGTATCTTGTTGCTGAATGTTCTTTTATATCAGGAGTTAATCTACCCGGAGTGAATGTGGATCTTCCGCCATTATCTCAAGCGGACAAACTTGACTTGGAGTTTGGTGTCAGTGAGAACGTTGACATGATCTTCGGATCTTTCACTCCGAACGCCGCTGCTGTAGTGGAAATGAGGAGAATTATGGGAGAAAATGGGAAAGATATTCGCATTATTTCCAAAATTGAGAACCAACAAGGTGATTTTTTACTCAGCGGGAAACTCAGATTACCAGTTATTTACAATTTACACCTTCTGGAAAAGTTCTGTATTCCGCTTCATTTAAGCTAAGTAAACCATACCGCAAAGCGCAACAGAGCTATTGATAGTTTTCAGAAGTCACTAGCTTATCAGGCAACTCTGCCTGAGATTGCAGATTAAAGATTATTAGTTGGGATAGCTAGCTTTTAAACTAAGGCGTCACGAAGACTCCCCCTCCTTGGTTATGTCTCTTTGTCTAGCTTCGCATCTCAGACCAGATATCTTCAATAGCAATTTTTTGATGTACTGATTTTTCAATAGGTTTAGCCTAACAAAAGTATTCTTGTCCAATTTGCCATCTAAATGATCAAATATCACAGGAATAGACCATGCCGATGAAATTATCGATGCTTCTGATGGAATTATGGTGGAGAGGGGAGATCTAGGAAGCGAGATTCCAATTCAGAAAGTGTTTCTTGCCCAAAAGTGTCTGATAGCACGTTGCAATAGGGTCGGGAAACCTGTAATTTGTGCCACCCAAATGTTGGAGTCGATGGTAATTGCACGTCAAATATGAAGGTTTTATCGACTGCAACATTTTTTCTTTCAGACCCACAAGCCAAGACCCACGAGAGCCGAAATCACAGACGTAGCAAACGCAGTATTGGACGGTGCCGATTGTGTCATGCTATCAGGTGAAACTGCAAGGGGGGAATATCCAACTAAATGCGTAGCAATGATGACCAGTATATGTATGGAAGCGGAAGCGGTATTCTGTCAGAAGCAATTATTTTTAGATCTTAATAACGAAGTGAGATTCAAAACTGTGCGCTGTTCAATTTTTCCTGTCTCTTTATAATAAATTGCAAAACAGTAATTTTTGCTCACAGATTAAATCATTAAGTGGAGTGGAAGCTGTTGCGGCTGCCGCAGTAGGAACTTCCATTGAAGAGCATGCAAGTGCCATCATATTGTCTACAGATACTGCCCATCTGATTAATATAGTAACCAAATTTAGACCTGGGTGTCCCATTATCGCAGTAACCGACAGTAAAATGGAAACCAGGCGATTCCAGATTTATAGAGCGGTAATCCCGGTTTATTACCAAGGTAAGGCTTCTACAGAAATAAGTAAATTTTATCAATATTTTCTGCAAACAGGATCAATTTCGGATGTAGAGGAACGCACTAGAATAAAGTTTGGCATTGATGTTGCAAAGACACAACGCATAATTTGTCAAGGCGATAGAGTCGTAGCTATCTCGCGGAGTACCAGTGGTGATTCTGTAGATACAATGGTTGTATCTTAGAGAACCCACAAACGGTTGAATAAAAATAAATAAAGGGGTTTCCGATAAATGCAGGTAGTTCCTAAAATGAAATAAAACAAGCCGTGCGTGATTCTTTTTTAATTAAAAAACCACTAAGTGTGAAATGCGACATAGTTCAAATGACCGATACGGCTTTTTATGGTGGCACCGATGCGAATGCTATCGCCCATGTTCACCGTCCATTTACCTAAAACTGTGACTTCTAGGAACCTACAAGAAAAAGTCTTAGAGGGGTCAATTCGCATATCCAATTCACTTCACCACTGCGAGAAATAGCCTTCTTGGAATAACATGTGGTCTAGGCCCAGATGATTGAATTTGGGAGATAAGAAATTGAGTAGCGCTCACCGTTGATAAAAAAACGGTAACTTTTGAGAATTGTCACTGAGTAAACCTTGCGTGGGTTGATGTCATTTCATATACTAAATTTTTTCTGGATAAAACAACTATTTATCCAAACCTGCGCCTCGTAAAAAATAAGTTTTCAATCAAAAATGAAGCCCCAGTCAGCCAATAAAATGGCTTTATCAATGGTTGTACACTTTCAGCTTCTAGATCAGTTGTATTTTATTAGCGTATAATCCTGAAGGAAAATTGGCCAAGTTTACCCCTTGTACGGATGTTGGTTGATTGAATAGGAAACCAATCACCTCAAATTTGGCCCCCAAACTTCCAAGAGTGGACTGTGAGCAGCCACCATGTTTACTGTAAGACGGGCCCAATGTGCGCAATGATAATAAAATTTTTGTCATTTGAACGTCCTGTTTAAAAGTGCAATTCGCCATGATCATTTTACATAAGTAACTCAATAATAAACAGAAAATTTTAGAGATATCCTTCGAGAGTGAAAGTTCTTAAAATTAAATTAAAATTGAATTAAAATAAGCGTATGTAATAAATCAATAAATTATGTCACCGAACACAACAAAAGTTTCAAGTTTTTGATTTTAATATTTTTAATTTAATAGATATGTCTCCGGCCCAGTTTGGGTTTAAACGTGGTAGATCGACTTGTGAAGCGATTAGTAGAGTTCTTGATCAGGTTTACGCACCTTTTGAAGGCAGAAAGTACTCCGACACAGTCCTATGCGATCTTTCGAAGGCGTTTGACAGTGTCCGGCATCCTGCTCTTCTAAGTAAATTCCTGAGGTATGGTGTGGATCCCTCATCGGTTGGATTCCTTCAAAATTATCTTTCCAACAGGAGGCAGATCGTGGTTCTGAATGGAAAATCATCACAAATTAGAGTTGTGGAACATGGAGTACCCCAAGGATCCATTATGGGCCCTCTTCTAATCTTGATCTATATAAACGATCTCCCTGAGCATGTTGCTGACATAGTTTGTGTATTGTTCGCTGATGATACTACCTTTTCTTGTCGAAGTCATGTCGACTTGGTGCACAGTCCGGGGCTAGTGAGTGGTTTCGTGCTAACAAACTTAACCTCAATGAATCAAAAACACAACAAATGATATTTTCTTTACGCGAGTCAACTTTCAACAACTCATTACATGTGAACTGTCTGGGGACTCTGCTTGATCCGAAATTGACGTTCGAGCAGCATATTATTGGTCTTTGTGAGAAGCTCTCCAGGGTGGTGTACTTGTTGCGCGGTTTGGTCGGCGAGGTCTCTCAAAGTATAGTCAGAATGGTATATTTCTCACTCTTTCAGGGATTATTTAGCTACGCAATTTTAGTTTGGGGTCACTCCTCATATACCGAAAGAGTTTTTTCGATCCAGAGACGCGATGACACAGTAGAATTATAGGGATGACGTAAGAGCAAAGTTTAAAGATCTCCAAATATTAACCGTTCCATGTTATTATATCTATTCGGCATTAAAATATATTAAAAGCAACCAGGATCAATATCCCCTTCATATTAATGTTTGCCACCATTTCATCAGAAACAGAAATGATTGATGGTTGATGGTTGATTAATTACTCAAGATTTGCAAAGACTAGAAATTATAAGAACTATTACGGACCTCAATTCTTTAATCTATTGCCTCTAAGCGTCAGAGACCTGCCGAAGAGACAATTCTCTGTTAAGGTCAAATAACTTCTGCCGGAGGGGGCCTATTACTCATTTGATGATTTTTTACCAATTTTAATAATGTTTAGCGTTTTCTGTGTTATTTCGCGGTGCCTTTGTAATTATACATATATGCAGATTTTTCGCAATGTTTTTTGCTGACTTGTTTAAAACCGTAGGGTTGTTAGCATCAATAAATTATTATTATTATTATTATTATTATTATTATTATTATTATTATAGATACAAAATATGTTTGGCAAGACTGTTCAGCCAGTTCGAAGATTAGATAACGAAAGGCAGAACACCGAGCTGCACCCTGCGCCCTTTCTTCATTTTGGAAAATGTGTTGAGATGTTTTTTAACGGAAAAATTTATAATTTGTTTTTTTTTTTCGTTGTTAATTCCAGTTTGGCATCATCTATGTTGAGAGCCTAAAAATTTCTTTCTAGGATTTAAAACATGAACATTATTGGTAATTTTATGTATGTATGGTGTTTATATTTTGCAACATACTTTCATCCTAATCATGAAAAACTTTAGCTACAAAAACATTTTCTATTTATTATTTTTTGGTAATTATAATTATATGATAATATAATAATCTGTCAAAACACATTAGACCTAGTGTGTATATTAATTATATTAGAACTAATATAATTTAATTTATATATTTTTCTGCAAAAAATTATTTATTGTTATGAAGGTGTACTACTCTAATGTTCATAACATATAATTGGAATAACAAAGATATCGTTCGAATAATGCGGATAGAAGAGTATCATTAGACAATTTGAGGCAATTAGAACTAGAAAGCAAAGGAAAGACATCGTTTAAGAAATCGAAATTGGTATATAGATATTTTGTTATAACTTAAAGGAATACCTAAAATAATGAAATAAAGTTCACAATCATTCACATATTTTGATTTTCTTTGAGAAAAAATCCACAACGCTTAATTTGCGATGCGACATTTTTTTTAATAAATCAACACATACAACAATACTATAAAGGTATGGATACCGCCATAGAGGCTTAGTTCTTTCGAAATTTAAGTGAGGAACAGGAAAGGCAAAGACTGAAATTTTCCCACTAAATTATAATTGGGAACGTTAATTGAATATTTATTGTGAACTTTGAATGAACCGGGCTTAGCATTCACGAGGGAAAATACATTTTTCAAGAAGCGGCATGCCCAGTGGTCTTAAGAGCTAAAGGTGTTCGTAGATAATATATTTGATAAAGACACGGTGTAAACAATTGTCATGTCATAATATATAATTTCGTGAAAATTTGAACTTTGAGTTCTTATTTATTTTGATAATATAGGCATCCACCACAACCATAGACTGATTATCCATATCTTCTTAAAGGTAACCTAACCATTGAACTACTTTTGTAAATTAACGGACTTTTGTTAGTTATTAGATAATATAGTGACCCTACTACGGTATTGATATTCCACACACTGAACTCGTTTCCAAAAATATTTAACGACATCAAGAAAGACAAAACTGAAATTGTCAAGGATGAATATGGAACCCTAACAAATTAGGTACTCTGATATATTGAAATATATTGCAGCAGTGAGAATTCTCGATCCATAGCACGTGACTTTGGCAATGCGCAGGGGTTTTGCAGTTCATTTTTTAACATTCCTCAAATGAATTGTAATTTGACGCGTTATAGAACAGAACAGAAACTTCCACGGGCTCTTGTAATACTACCTACGAAAATTCTAGATTCATCCTGCGTCGGATGTTGTTGAGTCTAACCTTTCGCCAATCAGTTAAGCTCTGAAGAAGCCAACAGGACGATTGGCGAAACGTTAGCAAGTTCGACTAAACAACAACCGAATGCAGAAGTTTTGTAAATAGCAATCAATCATATTGTCACAATACTGTTCCTTTTAATGTTCATTATGTCGCGCAGGTGGAGAAAACTTTACTTGGCATGAAAAGTGGCGCCACGGACGTCGATAGTATTAACTCCAAATGCTACTCTATTTGGTTCCCCATCTCAGTTCACATATAACTTTTATTATAAAAGGATTGATTGCAACCGGTTTTTCTAGCCTACGGTAAAAATTAAAATACTTGTTGAGTTCTTTTAGACGATAGTAAAGCTTTTGATACAGTAAACCATAAAATGTTATATGCCAAACCTAAGTATTTCGTTTTGGATGACTCTAAAACGAATTTGGTTTTTTTTTGGAGGGGCAGAGTTGGAGGTAATCTCGCAAATTTCAAACTAAAACTCAAACTATTAAAAATTTTAAACTAGGTATCCGACATTCTGAAGTAGTAAATTACGTAACAAGTGCTGTAAACAACATTTGAGTCACGAGTGACTTAAAAAAGTTTACCAAACCTGTTGAATACTATGCTTTTTCTACCACCCTTCGAATTTGGGTATATTTTGGCAAAACAACACGAATCCATTCACTGACATGATCGTCAGAATTGACAAACGTCACAAAATTCGAGCCGCGTAAGATCCTTCGAAACCCGTGCGGTAATATTTCGGACATGTCCGGATTCGTGGGACAAGAAACTCACGTGATAAAGTGACGCTTTCCGCACACTAGATCGGTGTATAATTAGGTATTTTATAGGAGGGAGTCGAAACAAGTGTTTTCATAAACATAAACTGTAATATATGCATAAAGATGTACTGGTACCCATATTATAATATCACGGTTTCCTGGCCTGCTCTAATCCAGAAGAAAAAAAAACCTCATTGCAAAAAGTGAAAAAAAAACTGTTTGAGATTTGCATACAATTTACGGAAATATAATCATATTAGCCCTGCCTTTGCAGACTTGAAATGGTTCAAAATCCAAGAGAGGTTTGAAAATCATTTCTGTCGTTCGTTACACAACATTTTCAAATGTCGGGAACTCCTATATTTGTATTAGAAACTTATAACCCGCGCAAATATGCATGAAAGGCAAACTAAGCTTCTTAGAGTTCCTGTACATCGCACTACAAGTTGTCAACATTGCTTTTCTTATCAGGCCCCTAAACTTCTTAATAAACTCCCAGCTATTTTGAATTCCGGAAGTCTGGATAATTGTTCTTGTGACTGTGTCTTGCGACTTAGCTTACCAAAGACATTTTTATTGTTACAATTAATATTATTATTACTATTATTATTATCTAGGCATATTTTGAGAAAATACTGCTTTAAAAACGCTGCGCCCAAACTTATTGACAATCTGTCAGAGGCCATGTTGGATGTTGAATGCCGCAAGGTTGAGATGTCGGGCATGCGAATGTTGAATGAACCTTCACAATTTTTTTTCATATTTGCTTCATAAGCTCCGCTGTTATCAGCATAAACAGAACCTCCATATTTCTAGTAGCCATATTGAAAAAGCAACATGCTAGCTCTAGCATAGTCGCCAAAGATTCACAAAGAGGTGGTCTGCAAGGAGTCCGGATCTATCGCTACTACCAAAGAATTCGACAACATTAAGCCTAAGAGATCAAGAGAATCAAAACACGATAGATATGTTTCGAAACGTAAAAGAATATTTTCACGATTTTTGGTAGGTAATTGCATTGCATTTGTTTAATTCCGTTTACATCTCATCTACATATAATCAATTTCTGTTTTCCCGGTGCTGTTATGGAGTTTTACTTCCGAGATTCGAATTCGGACTAACCGACGTTCGGGCCGCCAAACGGACATGAGATTAAATTTCTCGGTAGCATTCGATATCCACATTTCTTCCAGATAAAACATTAATCCGGATGAGAAATCGCTTGGAA